AATGATGGTAAATTATTAGTGCTTAAAGATGTATTATTTAGATTTTCTTCCAGTATTTCAAAGGGAATGAGCTGTGTTCTGACCTGAAGCACAAGAAAAGCTCAAATGTTGGGGTTGAAGACAGAGAAAGCAATGAAACAACTTAATTTCATTTAATGTACATTCAAATTACAAAACATGTATATGTCACAGTTATACTACATTAACATTAGAATTGTAAACCGAAAAAATCTATCAAATCAACAAGTGAGACAAGTGTGAGTTTTCACAATTTCTTACGAAAATGAATAATTTTCCAAACCTAACTAAATAACTGGAGGCAAAGTTATTTTTAACTCCATGTAGATCACAAACCTCTGAAATCGGTTGATAAATGTAAACGTTATTGTGTTTTTATCCAGAAAAACCGCAGCTCCTCCGTTCACCTCCATTTATTTTTAAGGCAGTCTTGCCTTCACAAACATGGTGGACGCGTTGACGTATCGCAGCAACGGCTCAAAGAGCGCAAATGAGGTGTCTAGGTATTTATTATGTCTATGGTGTCAACAGTATAGATGCCCCATTCGACGGCTCCAGGCACGTAGATGCGGCCGCCATCTTGGAACGGTCAACTTGACGTCATTCACCATATTGTAGGTTCTCACAGAGCCGGTGAGCCATTCTGTGCAGGATCATGGCATCTTTCGAATATTCAGTGATTACTATGGTGAATGACGTCAAGTTGACCGTTACAATATGGCGGACGGCTTACCTTTATCGGCCCATAGAAACAGTCGCTAATGAGACTATGTATGTATATACAGTGGGTACGGAAAGTATTCAGACCCCCTTAAATTTTTCACTACTTCCGCATTCGAAAAGTGGAAGTTTCAAATAGTAAAATTTTCGGTGCAACCTGTATCAATGGATGTACCCATTGCATGGGACTGTTGTGATTTAATTATGTAAAATACAGAAGAGATAGATACGTCTTCTAAAGACACCAAACTCAGTTTACAATCATTAATTCATTATTGTGAAACCAAGGAAGATGGTTTCATGATATGCCGATGTATATTTCGTGAGTTAAAGGGGAGCGTGCAAGCCATACTTTGTGTATGCACTAGGGGTGGAAAGGTTCGCAGAAAAATCGAACCGTACGGTTCTACACACACGGTTCGGCACGCGCTAGGACTGCGGTTCAACTTAAATCTGACAACGCATCTGTAATATGGTTTGCTATAAATAACACATAAAACAAACAGGGTTCGGCTAATGTATGTTTCTGTTGATGGATGCGCATTCTGGCTTCCCAGTACATTACAACAACAGCGATGAAAAAACAAGCGTGCACAAACCATTCAATCTTCTTCAATGCGAATGCCGTATGCTGGAATATGAGCAGTCATTTATTCCGTCATCACCCAGGTGCTGATAGCGTGCGCACACAGGTGAGACCTGAACAACACATTGATATCTGTGTTTAAACTAAACTAATTTAAGCTTTGCCAGTTTAAACATTTAAGAGCCAGAGGATGCGAGCTCGCGCACGCAGTGAGAAGATTTGTGCGTGCGCTCATCCGAAGCGGGCAAACCTGCACCTGCATCTCTCTGAAGTATTGTGTTTAAATGGACAAATTCACACAAAAATGATGTCAAAATGCCTGTCTTGGTAAGTATCCTATAGCAGACATAGCCGGCTGAAAGTACTGTATCAGTGCACTGGATCAGTGCATTCTCTTAAAGTTACAGCACTTTCTTAATATTAATCAAACAACAACAAAGAAATCACTCACTGCTCTTGATTGAATAGCTTTTGTAACTTTAATAAAGATTCATCTTTTATTTATACAGTGAAATATGCAATGCTGTTTTTCAATTTCTGTACCTAAAAACTAATGTTAGACCTACCTAAAAATCTTTAATCTATTTATTTGTGCTGTTGCTTGTAGTTAGATAGATTATTCTTATTTTCTTTATTTTTATTTGACAGTATAGTTTTTCCCTAAACATAGCACATACCGAAACCGTGACTCTAAAACCGTGATACAAATCGAAACATGAGTAAGTTCAACCGTTCCACCCCTAGTATGCACCTTATTTTATTACAGAACTGCAAGAAAACAATACAAACAGCATATCACATTAAAGAGCACTTCAATTAGCCAAAGCTTAAAATAATAATTTAGACTAAAAACTGCTTTAGATGATTAAATTAAAGGTTTGGGGGAAACTTATTGTATTAAACTATAATGCTCACATTTTTCATGCACTTACTTCACGATGCAATCCTCAATAATTACATCAAATTAAAGTTGTTCAAATAAACATATATTTCCAGTCCATAGACGATTATAACAACTAGATTAATCATCTTAAAGGAGTAATATCCTGCGTGATTGAGTTATACACACAAACGGGAGGTTAATCATAATAAATATAATGCAAGAATAATATAAAAAATAAATGTAAATCAGTCTGATTATTCCTCTGGGAGTGAGCAGCATTAATCTCATTATGGATGTTACACATTAAAATAAAGGAAGACATACAGTATATGGTAGGGCATCAGTATAAATAAACAGTTCTAAATATTGATGTTTATTGCTAATCCAACTAAATCCATTTAATTTTCTTTACAAAACTGGCATCTGTCCATTGACAATAATGCAAGCGGAAATTCCTTTACACGTTTCTTTTGTACGTGTAGACTCGCATATTTTGGCCATGTTAAGGCATCAGTTTTTGCCGCGTTTATTTGGTATGTGTAAAGACGCACAGTTTGGCCGCATTAAGACGACAAATTTGAACGTGTTTCTCAACGCACACATTTTGGATTTAATATTTAAGTCTAGATTTACCCACATATTCCTCTTTTAGCATTGCTTCACTGATATCTACTGTGCTAGAGTAAATGAATAAATGTTCAATTAAATGTTCAATTAAGTAAATGCTAATGATAATGCATATTATATAATTATTAATTATAACATCTATATATGTTATTGTATGTTTGTTTTAAGTTATATAGGCCTATCATTTTTGAAAGTATATATAACTTTACACAGAACATATTATAACTGAATATACATATACTTACATATTGTCAGCAGCCATATCACCCTGCAGCCCAAGACTGGTTGCCCACTGAAGCTAAGCAGGGTTGAGCCAGGTCAGTACCTGGATGGGAGACCTCCTGAGAAAACTAGGTTTCTGCTGGGAGAGGTGTTAGTGAGGCCAGCAGGGGCTGCTCACCCTGTGGTCTGTGTGGGTCCTAATGCCCCAGTGTGGTGACGGGGACACTATACTGACAAAAAGCACCATCTTTCGGATGAGATGTTAAACCGAGGTCCTGACTTTCTGTGGTCATTAAAAATCCCACGATGTCTTTCGAAAA